CTCCAACTAGACTCTACCCCATTGACCACAAGATATATATCCATTCAATATATCCATTCAATATATATTTATACACTTTTACTACAGTCAGAGCTTAGGTCAGTAAAATACTAGTGGCTTTGGGACACAACTTTTGCTAAAATATGAGATTATGCAGTTTTTAAAAGCAGCAGCTTTTGTTCAGCTTGAATTGCCTGTTACTTAACTGTAGGGAGAAGAAAAGTATTTTTTTCATCTGACCTCTTAGAACAGATAAATTCACTAGGATCCTAGGGGGTTTATGAGATTCTTGTTATAGCTGAATTTATCCATGGGAATTTAACTGTGGCTTGCAGAAGAAGCTTGTTTGCCAGCAGCAGTGCCAGTGAAGTTTAATGATGTTGCCTGTTCTTTTAGGAAGACAGTACTAGTTTCTGGTAAGTTCTGGTAGTGAACAGGTATAACATATAAATAAAAATATGTACAGTAACGTTAGATTATTTAATAATTCCTCAAAATTAATCCATACCTGTTATAACTTGAGACTTATTTTGCATAGTAAGAGGTCCTTAGATTAACTGCCAAAATGACACAACAATAAATGAAGATGCAAAAGCATAAATCTGTACTAAAAGTGTAGACAAATGTAAGAACACGAGTTGTATTTTCAAGTAGCGTCACCTATTTGGGAAACACGCAGTATTAAAACTGCATGAAAAGTTACATATAGCTAACGTGGCAAGTATGAGAGCACATTCTGGGATGTGTGGAAAAGAAACATTTATTTGCACAAGCAACTCATTTGTGCAGTTTCAAATTTAGACTTGCAAGTGCAGGATTCCTACTTATTAAAATAATTTTGGTGATAATGAACATACAAGTAGATGGTTTAAATAATGTCACAGACAAAACCTAAACCTGAATTCAGAAAGGCACATGGATGCAACATTATGAGCTGAAAATACAGTACAGAGTAAGATTACAGCAAGAACCCTCTTGTTAAGAAATATTTTTAAAAAGTGAGATAAGAATTCACACATGATCTATACAGAGTTTTCCTTACAGTCAGAAAGTGAGGCACACTGCACTTCATTATACCAACAGAGGATGTAGTTAATGAAATATGGCCACTTCAATGGCATTTTCAAGTATACCTTGTCTAATTGTATTTTAATCATACAAACTAAAGCAGCAAACAGAAATCACATTTTCCTTCTTTGAAGCATAGGAGAGGTATGATTGTTTGGTATTTATTTAGAATTCCCAGTCTGTATCATCGTGACCTGCAGTATGTCCACGTTCAGTCCCAACTACTGTTGAGGGCACTACCAAGTACTCTGGTCTGTCCTTTTGAATAGGAGGTGGTAATAGAGACAGTAGTGAATTCTGTGTTTGTTCTTTTATCTAGGAAGAAGAAAAGTTAAACAGAACAGGGCTGCACACTCAAGTCTACATAATCTTGCACCTGACTTCATTAAAAACATGTGAAATCAGAGCCATGTTCTTGCACATTAGAATGTTGAAAATAACAGGATAACAACACCCTAGAGTAAGTTGAGCTAGTCTTTCAAGACTAATACATTAGCTATGCAGTTCTGCTGTAAATTAAGAATATTAACCGTTAGTATTTAGTTAAGACTGAAGTTAAACCAACGTTTTCAAAGGGAAAGTGGATTACTTTTATGCTACTCTATCAGTACCATTTGATAAAAAACAACAAAAAACCCAAAACCAAACAAACCCACAAAAACCCAAACAACAAACAAACAAAACCCCCCAAAGAAATGGTCTGAAGTACATATGCTGTTACACGATGTTTTCTGGCTCCAGCTAACTTAATTATTTTGTAATCTAACTAATATTTTGTGGCTTATTTAGGTTATAGCTGTGTCATTTAACAAAAATGTAGTAAACTCACCTGTCTGAAGAACGTATGCGAAAGCAAACTGCTTGCTGATGGCCTGGATCATAAAATGAACAATATAATTACGTTTTGGAAAGTAAAATGCTGCTTTTGGAAAATGGGCTAGACTGACAAATCAATTTAAGACCTGTGGTCTCATGTGAAGCATAAGAAAAGCAGCACAGAATTCCTACATTCTATGTTTCAATTTGTAGTGAAGGCACTACTAAAGAAATCTATTTATTTGTAAAGGCTTTTCCACTTTTCCCTTTATCAAGGAATTTAACACCTCATTCAGAAGAGACAGTACTGAAAACATACACTTCAGATTTCTGGGTTTTTTGTCATGGTCAATATGCATGTTTAAAAATTAATTTTACTTTTTACAAAGTACATTCATGTTACAAGAAACTCAGGCCCAGGGGATCAAATGACTTTAAGGGCATAGTTCCTTTATCAGACAAGATAATTCTTAAATTACAAAAACAAAGTGTAGTGTTTTGCATACTACTGCTCCTTCTGGTCTGAAATTCTCACTTTCAACAGTATTCAAGTGATTAATGTATCCTAAGTTGTGGGCTATGCTTGGTCATAGACTGAAGTGACAGAAGATTAATTTTCATCAGAAGGTTACCTTTTCTCAGGGTCCTGTTGCAAGCAAAGTTCTACCAAGTTGTGGAAAGCAGGTGAAAACGTTTTGGAAAAGGGAATTTGCAGTCTTTCACTGGTCATTGTGCGTGTCATACTCTCACCAATTCCAGAGTCAACACCTGATCGGGAATTCTTCATCCTGGATTCCCCACAGGGGAAGGTATTTATATCCCAAGGACAATATGTGGGACCTTTCAGCTTCTGCAGCAGCATCTAGTAAAAAGGAATAGCAGTATAAGAGTCCAACAGCTATCCAGGCTAAGATGTGAAGCTCCAGGAATGGCAGGATTATTTGATCTGGAAAGAAGCATCCGTATTTGAAATAACAAAAAGCAGACACCATTTCACCAGTAATAGCATTGGTCTCTCTGAGTAAAACAAAAAAACGCTTAAGAGTGTTCTGAAGTAGAAAGAGTTGAGCGTCATACCTGAGTGCGAGGCATATCTTGAAAAGGAACATGTCCATTGGCTAATTCACATGCTGTAATTCCCACACTGTAAATGTCAGATTTCATGTTATACCCAGACAAATCCTGTGAGACAAAGAAAACTTTACTGAATCACCGATGCCATTGAGCAGTGCTGACAAAAATAAAAGTGTCTGTTTCAGCACAAGATTCTAATACCCTGTAATCTACACAGGATTGAGGCAATTAACGGACACAAGCTGGAACACAGGAGGTTCCACTGAAATTTGAGAAGAAACTTCTTCTCAGTGAGGGTGCCAGAGCACTGGAACAGGCTGCCCAGAGAGGTTGTGGAGTCTCCTTCTCTGCAGACATTCAAAACCCGCCTGGACGCCTTCCTGTGCAACCTCATCTGGGTGTTCCTGCTCCGGCAGGGGGATTGGACTGGATGAGCTTTTGAGGTCCCTTCCAGTCCCTAACATTCTGTGATTCTGTGAATTAAATTGTGAAACCTTGGGCTTTGTTCAGAAATCTGATGGTTGTACTGAAGACAACTTCTAGGATCTACAGTAGTTTCCAGGAAGGTCAAGTGAAGAGACTTGGTATAGCACCACCTTCCCAACAGCTTTAAAACCAGTTTTCTTTAGGAGAATTAAAAAGACACAGATGTACTGAATTTGTAAAAGTTGCAGTTCAACAGCTTCCATTGCACTTCTACAAGCAGACTTAAGTTAGAAGTTGAGTACTTCCAGTAACTTTGAATAGGAAAAATGAAGTGTAATTTACACTAACCTGTCTCAGCAGTTCAGGACTCAGCCAAGGAAGCACGGATGTACTAAATTGGGGGAAATCATATACCACCTTTGACTTTTGTCCATTGTTAACTAAACTGTAGAGGTTGTTTAAGCCAGAAAGAGAAACCAGCCCATCCCCTGAAATCAGAATGTGGCTAGCTTTAATATTCCTGTAACATAAAGTGGTAAATTTTAGTTATAAGAATTACTCAAAGCATTAACTTATAGTGAGATGTCAGCGTGCTGTTCTATTTAGCAGATTATTTTCATGAAAGTTCTTTACTCAGTATGAGTTGTCTTTTTAATACAGCCACAAGAGAGAGGAGAGATGATCAGCAAGAAAAAACTGCCAGAGACAGAAACTGGAGAAGGGCCCTCCTTATCCTGCAAAAAGTGCAAAGTAAGGAAGCCCTTTCTACAACTCTGATTCTCCTGCTTCAAAAAGACAAAGCCAGACAGATGTATAATCCCTGTAACAACTTACTTTAAATAATGTATTAATATCATTCTTATTAAGCTTCTAAAAACTTGGTTCTGCTGTATTACTGAAAAAAAAACTGCACTGTCTGACATAAGGTGGCATATAGAAAAAGGAAAGACACAACATTTAAGCTGCTGAAAATTAATTTGAAGTGAAACTAAGTTCTCAATAAACTGGATGCTGTAATCTGATTCTTACCTATTAACATTCTCCTACCTGTGAATGTAGCCGTTCTGGTGCATGTAATTTAATCCTCTGATTGCACCAAATAGAATGTTCCCTATCAAAGCTTCACTCATTCCTTCAGGAAAGTAAGTCTTCAGCAGGTGTCTAGCCGAACCTGGAAGTGGAAAAAAAAATAGCTAAGCCTAAAAAGTCTTGTTAAACTACTTGTCTATGCTTGCTTCACTGTATATATTCATCGAGAGCAGCACTCTCATTTCTATATTGACTACAGTACATTGAGAACAGTTACATGGATACAATCTGGCAAAGATCACGCTCAAGTCATGCTTCAGTTAACTGAAAGTCTATGCTAAACCTGTATTCAGTCCAGAGAAGTTTTCTGTTGGCAAAATTCAAAGTTGTATAAAGTGAAATACATCTCCCAATTATCATTCCTCACCCTGTGGGTGTTAGGACTAAGGATTAGTTAGGTTAATGCTCTTCAAATACCAGTCTTTACTGGAAGATTATGTACAGAAGACTTCTCTAAACAAAAGGTTTGGGGAAGTTTGTTTTTTCTACAAGACAGGAGGTGCTTAAAGAAAAACTTCTCATGGACCAAGTGGTGCAGGTTGTATCAGCCCTTTTTCCAATTCCAAAACTGCAGTTAACAGTACTTACCATAGGCCATGAATGGGGAGATAACCCAAAGCCAACTACCAGCTGTAAACACTGTCCAAAGCGTCATTATGTTGGGATGCTGGAAAAAGTGGGATAAAACCACTTCATTCTATGGAATTAAATGAAAGTGGATGTGTTACCAAGACAATAGTCTTACTAAGAGCATTAACTACGTCGGTAATCAGTAGAAAGAACTGTTCCTGAGGTGCATTTATATGAATTTGCAGGTGATGTGCATAGCCTGCGATAGAAATGTAACAGCCTGCTATAACTGCATTTGTCTGAAGTAGATCTAGTTTGCTCATAGTCTGAAGTTTTGGTGTTAGATACAGAATATGTGTTAAGTACAGAATATGTTTCAAATAAAATGTTGTACAATTGCATAAGTATTTCTAAAACACTTACGAATGGTTTTCTTCAGAAAGCAACTCTCAAATTTACACATGCCTTGTGTTTATATTTTACTCCTTTGAAGGGAAAACTTGACTGAAATGACCCAGTAAAACACAAAGGCTACCTCTGTTTAGTAACCTCATGTATTCATCACTATTTTCATCAGACTTGTGCAGAAATGCTGTTGCTTTACCTGTAAGGCTTTCAAATGCTCTTCAGAGCAGTTTTCTAGGTCTGTGATCCTTACAGCAACTTGCATGCCTGTAGGCGTATGCCGTGCAAGGTAGACTGAAGTTAAGTTGTTGAACCTCCTTCCTGAAACCAGAAGTGGCTGCCTTAACATTGAAAAATATAATAATCCACCACATAATTTCCTTCATATTTAGAGATAATTTTACAGTTCTAAAATTGTAATTGATAGCAGCATGACATTTTCCTTAAGAACTTAAGTAGTTGCAGCAAAATATATTCAGCGAATTAGTTAAAGCATGGCTCTGTTATATTTAGAACAACTCTCTTAGCATGCATATTCACATAAACATATCCATGCACAGCAGGATGCAGGGCAGCCATCCTTAGGACAATCAACTTGGGTAGCCAAGTGTCAAGACATGATGTTACTTAGTGCTGTATTGTCCACATACTGCAGATTTAGAAAACTAATATGCACAAACATCAAGAAAAAAAAATCAGGTAACTGTTGATTTGTCTTATACTTTAAAATAAGTGATTACTGAAACATGAGCAATATTCTACACTTTTCTCAATTAAAGAGACACAAAAAGCATTCTAGTCAGCTGATAATACATCTTCCAAAGTTAGTATTTATTGCAGTTAGCAATAACCTATTGAGAGCATGCATCTGCAGGAACAAGAAATATTTTAAGGTACACTTATGTTACCTATTTCCAGCTGGAGTTCATAGTGAGAGACATTAGAAGAGCAAAATACGATTTCATTCCTTCCTGCAGATGGGGGAATCCAGGCTAGATCAGAATCAGCCTAACAATAAGGAAAAACAGTTCTCTGAATTACTATTTCATTTTTAAACATTCACATGTTTAAAGTGTTTAAAATATAATTAATTAGAATGCTAAGATAAAGCACTCAAGTCAGAACATTCAAGATGGTGCTTTCACCATTACACCGAGACTTAGTTTTATGAGCTACTGGTTTGGAGGTTTTTTATGTGTGTCTGTTTTGTTTTTAAAGTGGTGCAAGATTAACACTTAAGTCACCTATACTATTCTTCCAAAGTGAAAGCCCCAAAGTATTCTGGTTATTTTAGCTGTTAACATTTCAAACAATACTCCCTAATGAGATTATTTTTAATATGTACCAGCTTCATCTTTAACACCGATAGTTAATGTTTCTATCTTCTTCTTACCAGGCATTCATGGTCACTGCTCTGAGATAGTTCTTCTGGTCTGATGGATTCAACTGGTGTACGGAGGATACAGGAACAGTCCTTGAGAACAGAAATAAGTGAGTGTTAGCGGAGTTCCTGCCATTTATTAAACGTGGCAATGGAAAAATATCAAAAGTAGCCCCTACAAACAGGAGTTCAGAAAGTTTTCTGCTACAAGTCAGTCAAACAAGAGGTTAAGAAACAGCATAGAGCACGTACATGGTAGACCCAGAGAGAAGAGATACTAAACAGTCTCCTTCACTGAAAGTTGATACAACAGAATTTAAACATCTCAGGACTGTGGAAATCTCTTCAAGCAAGACATTTCACCAGAACTTTTTCCCATTAAAGTATGACTGAGAAACAAGGTACAACTGCCAAAGAGTTTTAAATACAGACTTACCAAACAAGACATGGAACCACTTTAGATCAGGGAAAAAGTCATATACACCCATTTATCCTAGAAAAATTAAAGTAGCAATGTCAGATCGTACATAAACCTGTGATAAATGTTAAGTTTCTTTAATCACAACTGTGAGGCATTCCTCTCAATTAACACACACAAATTCCCTCAAGAATACAGCTCTGGAAAAGCCTGCTCCTATTGAGCCTTTAAGCAGCATATGGATTTCAAACTTGATACAAAGGATATGCAAAATACATTCCAACTCAAGCTTTCCTTTTTCATTCACAAGTTTAGAGATCTTACTACCAATTCTGAACAAACAATTGCAAGTTAACTGCATAAGTACAGAAAGTAAAAAGGATTGGATCCATGGCAGTTTGTAGGGAAGAAAAGAACCTGTCTGTTGTTTTAAAGGAGCACAGCTATGCTAGTCAGAACTTGCTCACCAAAAAAATCAAGCCAGAAGCAATTGCACTTTACATTTCACAAGTGAGAGAGGAAATACTATTGAAAGGGACTTCAGTAAAAAAAACCCAAACCTCAAATAATTTTCACTTTATTTAGGCTACAAAATCAGCATTCAGATGTCCTCACAGATCAGGGTAGCCACTTGGAAAGTCCTCTAGCAGACTTACTGATGCTTTGGAAGCTTAGGCAGTGAGGAGAGAGAGATGATTATGTCTAATAAGCGTATCAAAGCTTCTGAAGTGTAGAGTGGGACTAGTTAATTCATTTTATCTACAAGCAAGTTTTCTACCATGATGAATACCACTTGGTGACTGACATAAAGTCAGCTACAGGAGGCAGTTCCATGTTAATAGGTAATTACTGCTTGAAAGTTAGCTTTTAAAAGGTGAAGTAACTGATCACTTTATTATGAAGCTATGCTTGATTATATCCCACATTTAAATTATGTATGCTATTTAATCAAGGCAACATTCCTGAAAAGCAAACAAGCTCCCACCACCCCAACCACTGCCAAATATCCAAGCCACTCGTAATCCCCAAGTTTTTTTTACTGTGAAAATCTCCTTGAAGTAAATAAATACTCTAATTCCTTATTAAAGATAAGAAAATGAGACAAAAGGAGATCCTTGGCACTTGGTATTTGGCACCTTCAAAGGATTAGGGCTTCACTTACCCAACTTCACTGAGGAAGTCTGTGGCAGAGTAGGAAAAAAATATGTAGGTGCTTCAGCATACTGGCCAGCACTGTAACGGCTACAGCATCCTTCTCCTACCTGGAAAGAAGATACTTCAGTCCATTATACAAGACATTATTCTGTTGCTTGGAATAAGAAACCACAAAAGCTAAGCTGAAGAGTAGTCTTCATAACTATGATACACTAAAGCCAAATCATTGCAGAATTTGTTCAAATTGGTATAACAGAAACATCTGTGATCCCCATTTGTAAATTTTGGGTTTTTTTTATTATGTAGTTTAACACTGCTTACACTTTTAATACTGTTTTGGATCACGTCCCTACATACACCTCCCTGTTTCCACACTTTTCTTTCTGTATTGCAAGCTTTTGAGTGTCTCTCACTGCGTATAGAGACAGTGTTGCACATTTGAAGTGATACATTAATCCCAGCTCAGCCAAAGCTTCAGATGCACCGAGCAATGCCGCGGAGAAACTGAAAAACGTGCCTGCGAGCCGGGAGAGTGCAGCGGCTCTGCAGCCCAAAGCCCAAGGACGGCGAACGCTGGGCTGCAGTTCCTACTTCAGAGTTTGGAGGGGCTGCGGCAGCTCTCGATCGCGTATCTCGAGTTAAGTGATCCGTCCGTGACAAAAGTAACGCGACGTGAGAAAAGGCTCTCCCAGGAGAGCGCCTCACTTGCTCCGTTAAACTCGTATCTTGCCGTCCCCGCTTCCTCCCGCGCCAGGCGGCCATTTAACGGCGCCCCC